CTGTCACAGGGAACTCGCAAAACAGCTAATATAATTATTTACAGCGGCATGATCAATCTCGATTACGTCATTATCTCTGGGCCGTCTACGAAATTGCAGCATTACTTGATTAGAAAAATGAGAAGGAAAAAAAATATACCTCCACTCTAAAAAAAGTCTGTGCGTCTACTTTCACGCACAACACTCGGAGAGCCAATCAGCGCAACTTATGGAGTCAGCTCAGCGAATGACGATGCCGAAACATATGTTTAGACCAAGAAACCCAGTCTGAGTTGTGACATTAAGCAATGCAAAACGTCACGCTTGCATTGCTTAATGTCACAACTCAGTCAGCGTTTTTTGGTCTAAATATATGTTTCGGCATCGTCATTCGCTGAGCTGCCTCCGTAACTTGCGGTGATTGGCTCTCCGAGTGTTGTGCGGGAAAGCATACGCACGAGCTTTTTTAGAGTGTTGCATCGGCGAAAGCCAGCATAATTCGCAACCCACTCAGTACAGTGGTTACGAGAGTAGTAGTGCCCCCTCGTTATCTCTTAATCTCTTCATCTCTCCGTCTCTCTCCACACACAAAAAAAAAGTTTTACAAATGCTTTTCTTTAGATTGAGTGACAAGGATCAAATAAAGATTTCGAAATGCTCAAAGTAATCCGGAAGTTATGTTTGCTTGTTTTTTTTTTTTGTTTTTTTTTTTAATTTCCACGCGGATTCCAAAGCCTGTGATTCCTAAGCAAACTGCAGATGCATTTTTTTTTTTGGTTACTATTGGGGAGCAGATCGAACAGTCACGCCTCTAGCGGCATGCTTCAGCTGTGTGGGCAACAAACCGAATTTTCTTGTTTGTTTTAGCTCAGAGAAATGGAAGATGACGATTCGAAGGCCGCTCCTCATGCGTCCAAAGCACTGGTCAAAGCGAAGCGCTCGTGCCCCGACCGTGCTAGGCGAGGTTCAATTTCTTTGTTTGTCTGTGTTAGTAAACACCGGGCTGTGCGGAAAACAAGCCGGATCAAGCGTCCCATATAGCTCGATCTCCTGCCCAATAATCATTGACAGGATTAAAAAGGCAGGGCGTCTCTTTGGAATGCACGGCCTCCAGCACGTGTTCGTTGCCTTCCGCCATGCTTTGGCTGCGCGTGCACGCCCGAGGCTCTCGAGACGCCAAAGCGTTATCGAAGGATTACGAAGCTTGTGCTGGAGGCAGGACAACTGAGGGAGCTTTCTGCCGTTCGTCTCCTGTCAGTATACAAACATGAGGCCATGTTTGTAGCAACAATAATGGGGGGACTTTTAGCAAACCGTTCCCGTGTTCCGCGTACCGCACTACCGGAGCCTTTGAAGCATGCTTTTAAGCATCGCGCCCTGCGGTCAAGGTATCACTCGGGCGCGCGCTCAAAAGCATACTTCAAAGGCTCCTGTGCGGGACGCGGAACACGGGAACGGTTTGCTAAAAGTTCATATTGAGACTTAACCGCGGTCACTGGCTGTGGAAGGGCCACGGAGCACCAATAAAACATGGTCCAAGTGCCTAGATCGAACACGTATGTTACAAAATACAGTTTCCACGAAATGATCTCCACGAAACGCTATTTTGAGTTCTGAGCAAAACCGAAATGTGCCTCTATTATAAGCACATGCCTCCTCGGTTCCCCCTGGCTGGGGAGATGAAGGACGTTTGAAATATTGGTTACAAAACCGTGGCTATATGCCACGATGTTGGCACATAGCCACCTGTGGGACTCCTGATGGTGGAACGCCTATGGGATTACTGATGTAACATTAACGTATGCCGAACATTTACCATTCACTGACAACGCTCTTGCAAATAATTTTCGATCCATCTTAATACCGTCAAGTCTATATTTAACATCTTAAGTTTATTGAGCAGAAGTGAATGCGAAACGGTATCGAAAGCCCTGCGAAGATCTAGGAATATACGCTCTGTTTGGCCTCCCCATCAACATCAAATGACAAGTCATGATAAAATTCGACAAGTTGCGTGGTGCAAGATACGCCCTTACGGAAACCGTGCTGTTCTTTAGATAATAGGTTCTTTTTGTTATGTGATGTATTATTTAAGCGTATAAAATATGTTCTATGATCTTGCATGAGATGGAGGTTAACGAAATAGGCCTGTGGTTCTCAACATCCTTCCTAGAACCCCCTTTGTGAATAGGAACTATGTGAGGCGGTCTTCCAGTCGTTTGGCAAGAGACCCGCACATAGTAGCTCCGCATAAATTAAATAAAGATAGAGCGAAATCGGATTAGAACAGCGCTTAAGCACACGAGGAGATATGCCACCTGGGCCATTTGCCTTAGTTTCGTCGATACTCTTTATTAGCACTTTAGAGAGAAAATTTTTCCGCTAAACTTAGCGGGCAATTTTTTCCGATAAATTTAGGGGGAAACTTTTTCATATTGCAATGCGCGGTTACGCCTCATTGCATTCTTCCCATAATGCAAAGCGCGCAGTTACGCCGATGCCGACGCCGACGGCGACGCTGTTTAAGCCGGAAATGGGCGCCCAAGAGCTGCGCTCTAAAAAGTGCAATCGTTTTAGGAGCACCCAAGGAACTCCTGCTACTTTATTAAATCTAGACTACGGAGGCAACGAAAGTGAGGAGTTACGTTGCACTCTCGATCTGTGGCAGTTAGATGAAGCCGGGCGAGCTTTCTAGATATCTCCAAGTCTTTGACGAGATCAAGCGGAATTGTAGAAATCTTGCGAATGTACCTCAAGAGCCACTCTCTGAAAGAAGCCCGTGCGTCTACTTTTCTGCACAATACTCGGAGAGCCAATCACCGCAACTTACGGAGGCAGTTCAGCGAATGACAATGCCGAAACATATGTTTAGACCAGAAAACGCAGTCTTAGTTGGGACATTAAGCAATGCAAGCGTGACGTTTTGAATTGTTTAATGTCACAAATCAGACTGCGTTTTTTGGTCTAAACCATCGCTCTCAATCTCATTCGAGTTTGGGGGCCAAATAGCCCACCCCCGAAAGGACATAGGGCCAAGGAAGGGGGGGGGGGGCAGCAATATTTTGGGACAAAGGTATAAACAAACAGACAACATTGGGGTTTCACATTGCAAAGCAGCTGACTGTCCGAGCAACACCCCAAAGATTTTCTAGACAAGGAACCTTGGCTGTCTGCTTTTTGTAAGCTCAGTTTGGCCGTCTTTAGCTTTATTTGCACGTACGACTACTTTGGGCCCGCACATGGTGTTATAAGAAGATTTAAAAGACGCTAGAAGCCTGAGCTCATAGTTTTATTTTTGGCAGTTTATTCTAATAAAGATTTTGTGCAGCCGGAATGCTTCCTTGGGCAAAGAGCTCGTGCTTGTAGCCGCCATTCCGTTTGATTCCGACAAGAAAATAACAAGAAGCAAATATTTGGACGAAGCAATACTCCGTCCAAACAATAAGCAGAACAGTGAAAAATCCGTGAATACGTTACAGAGGCGGAGTTTATTTTTGAGCTGAAATACATTGAGGATATAGGACTCTTATTCAAGGCGCATGTGAAACTGGAGGCATATAAACGGGAACTCGCAGCCGCGGGATGCTTGCGGGCCGCTTCGCAAAGCGTCGCGGGCCGCATCCGGCCTGCGTGTTTGAGACCCCTGGTCTAAACATGTGTTTCGGCATCGTCATTCCCTGAGCTGCCTCCGTAAGTTGCGGTGATTGGAAGACAATGCTCGCAAGGGAGCTGGCTCCCGTACGAGTGCATAGGCACCTTGGGGCAGTCCTCAACGAGAATCGTTGTTGTGACTCGGAGTACGTGAGCGAGGATACTTTACTCTGCCGAGGAGCATGGTGCATGGACTCATGGTGGCGACGCAAAAGCTCCAGTCGTCAAGAGCATGATATCGTACAGTGGGGGGATCACTAAAACACGTTGGCAACCGTATTTCTCAATATGTGTTTCGCGCTGCTGCGCGCTTTTCGCTGCGCGGCATTTATTTGGTCAAGGCGTTTTGTCCCCAAACAACTGTGTTCAGTTGTATAGGGAGCGAGTTTGATTGATACGCGCGTCGTGTATTCTGTTTTATTTTATGGGTTGACTCTATTCTCTCTGTTAAGTGTAGTCGTTGCTTTTGATAAATGTTTTGGTGTTATGTTTTCTGGCACTTTTAGTCCTTAGCGCTCCATATTTGCATGGCGGGCAGCTATGGCGAGGTGAATTCGTGCGCCTCTGTGGTTGTTGCAATAGAGCATTGTTTAAACTAAGGCGTTTTATTGCCGTCTGCTGTGTCACTGCAAAGAGTGTACTTCTAGGGTAATTCTGTGTTCTATTATTGCACACTGCGTTGGTTTCTGTACGCAGAAACTAGTTAAACATTCGACTGTTGGAGTGGCTTTTCCGATATGTCCTTGTGTGTTAAAAAAAAACCAGCTTGGCGAAGGCGAGGGGGACAGCTAAAGAGATGGGGCTGGGGGGTCCGGCGCGGGAGTGCTTCTGAAGGGGATTACGTATGTACCATTGGAAACCAAAGAGCACCCCGTAGCAAAAGTTGAGCTGGGCGGGAGTAGCCCCTTGAATCGGTCATAGACGAGAGCTGTCAACGCACGTAAATAAATGTAACGAAGTTTTTTACGAATGTAGTTGTCATCTTGCCACTGCTTCGTCATCGCAATGAATAGTTGCGATCAAAGAAAGGATATAGCGAGACTTGACGTATATTCCAAATCTCAGAACTTCGCTGAAACGACATGCCCAATATAGCATCTAGAAAAACTTCATTTTTAAGTCCGAACATATTTTGAGTCTCGTTATTCTTCGAGCTCTTCCGTAAAATGTTGGCTCTCCGAGTGCTGTGCGGAAAGGTATACGACGCATGGTCATTCATAGAGTGTTTGTAGTTCAATTTGAAGTGTGACTTACGTGCCACGTCTGGCGTTCACGCGAAAATAGAAGTGTACAAGACAGCGCTTTCGCCACTCTAATTAGCTGTTGTGACCGAAGTGAGGGTTATTTTGACAGTCAGTCGGATCACGCACCTTTGTGAAGGCGTGCAATGGTGCCGAGTGCCCACCACCCTTTTGTGGAGGGTGATGGCGTTGTTGAGCATGTTCAGCACAAACTCCACCCCCTCCCGGGCCAAGATTCCGACAAACGTGTTGCCGGTGTCCTGGGAAGGGGGCTCAGCATCCACCGTGCTGCTGTGTGTCCCCGACCTCCATGTCCACCACCAGCGACCTGGAGGAGGGTCCGGAGCCTTTGGCACCTTCCACGGGAACACCTGCGGATGCAAACATGGCGTTCATTTCCATCTCCAGTGCGTTTTGCAGAGGAAAGCCACACCCTGCGGTGAGTCCGTTTGGGACACTGAGCCGCAGACACTCTACTGTTCTGCTATAGTTGGTGACAGGCTAAGAGTCAAGTAAAAGCTCCTCTCACCTCTTTCCGCTTGAGCAGAGCGAACGCTGGAGAGGGGGCGACCTCCTCTGCAGCGCCCACTCTGTCAAAGCGCCGAGAGGTGGGAGGAGCTTCCACTTGACTCTTAACCTGTCACCGACTATAGTACGGCCTGACGCATCGCTCCCCATTCATCCCACAAGCTGAAAGGGTGGTGGGAGCTATGCGTTTGCCGGACTAATAAAACATTTCCCTTTAATCACGTGTCTCCGCTTCGCGGTGGTAAGGGCGAGAGCGTGATACCGTAGAGAAAGATGGACGCATAACTGGTCCCACGAGCTCATAACTTCCACTGCTGTGTCGACTTAGGGGTGAACGGTATCGCTGAAGGAGCAAAAGTCCGATGGTGGCTCACTAGCGCTCGTGATTACCCGTGTACATTGCGCTAGAGTCTCTCAACTATGCGTCATGCCACGTGAATGGAATGGAAAGGTGGGCAAGTTCGTGCATTCTGTGAACACAAAAGCGCCAAGAAACGGGACAAGAAATGCGAGACAACCGAAGCACTACTATCAACTGAACTTTGACGCGTAAAAAGCACATAAATATATCTACCTTGTACTCACAGTGATGATGCAATGTACTCAAATTCGTTTTGCGTTAGACGCAATGACAGTGTGCTGATATATTTTGCGTCGCCGGCGAGCATGATAAGCCTCGGGAATCTCTCCTGAGGTATTCTTTTTAAGTTTTGCTTGCCTACAATTTTTTTTTGTTTTTTTCCGACTCAGGCTGGCAGCAGCATTTGTGGTAGTGCACCGCATGCAAATCAAAAGCAGAATAGAAAGCTCCTTCGGGTGCATACGGTTATGCTGCAAACTTGCAGCTTTTTTTCCTGGCCCCCCTTGTCACATGTGTGTAAAAGCGCTGTGACAGAAATAAACTGATTCTGATTCTGATGTACGTGACGCAGCACGAACGCCAGTTTGTTGCTATCAGAACTTTCACTCCGGAGGAATTGAACAACGACGGGTAAACTGAATTTGGAAGTTACAAGCTACACGTCTCCGAAATTGACACTTTTTTTTATTTTTTTCCCCTTTCTCTATACAGCTCTTGACGCACCGATGTGGAGGCTTAAACGCGCCGCAGCTAAAGCGAAGCGACAGGGGATCGTTTTCAAATTCCGATTCAATTTCAGCCGTGACATTTGGAAAACAGGAAAACTGTCGCGCCGTCTATGGCGGATGGGGATACTTGTCACTTCGGTTTGTGATGGACTACATTCATACAATTCAGCAGTCAAATATGAAGCCTTCATTTTTTTTTTCATTTAATACTGCCGAAGCTCGAGGGCGCAGTTTGTTCTCGGCGGCTGACTGAAACGGGCGCTTGCAGGTTCCGGGGCGCTCGGGGGAGCGCAAGACCCTACTCAGCACTGAACATCTGCCATGACTTTAGTTCATTTGATAGCATATTTTTGTTGATCCGAAATTTGTAATAGTTGTTTTATGCTAAAGCTTTTTTTTTTTTTTCTGGGGGGGGGGGGAGGGGGGCGCAGTTTGTTCTCGGCGGCTGGCTGAAACGGGTGCTTGCAGGTTGCGGGGCGCTTGGGAGAGCCCAAGACCCTACTCAGCACTGAACATCTGCCATGACTTTAGTTCATTTGATAGCATATTTTTGTTGATCCGAAATTTGTAATAGTTGTGTTATGCTAAAGCTTTTTTTTTTTTTTTTCTGGGGGGGGGGGGGGGCGCAGTTTGTTCTCGGCGGCTGGCTGAAACGGGTGCTTGCAGGTTGCGGGGCGCTTGGGAGAGCCCAAGACCCTACTCAGCACTGAACATCTGCCATGACTTTAGTTCATTTGATAGCATATTTTTGTTGATCCGAAATTTGTAATAGTTGTTTTATGCTAAAGCTTTTTTTTTTTTTTCTGGGGGGGGGGGGGGGGCGCAGTTTGTTCTCGGCGGCTGGCTGAAACGGGTGCTTGCAGGTTGCGGGGCGCTTGGGAGAGCCCAAGACCCTACTCAGCACTGAACATCTGCCATGACTTTAGTTCATTTGATAGCATATTTTTGTTGATCCGAAATTTGTAATAGTTGTTTTATGCTAAAGCTTTTTTTTTTTTTCTGGGGGGGGGGGGGGGCGCAGTTTGTTCTCGGCGGCTGGCTGAAACGGGTGCTTGCAGGTTGCGGGGCGCTTGGGAGAGCCCAAGACCCTACTCAGCACTGAACATCTGCCATGACTTTAGTTCATTTGATAGCATATTTTTGTTGATCCGAAATTTGTAATAGTTGTTTTATGCTAAAGCTTTTTTTTTTTTTCTGGGGGGGGGGGGGCGCAGTTTGTTCTCGGCGGCTGGCTGAAACGGGTGCTTGCAGGTTGCGGGGCGCTTGGGAGAGCCCAAGACCCTACTCAGCACTGAACATCTGCCATGACTTTAGTTCATTTGATAGCATATTTTTGTTGATCCGAAATTTGTAATAGTTGTTTTATGCTAAAGCTTTTTTTTTTTTTTCTGGGGGGGGGGGGGCGCAGTTTGTTCTCGGCGGCTGGCTGAAACGGGTGCTTGCAGGTTGCGGGGCGCTTGGGAGAGCCCAAGACCCTACTCAGCACTGAACATCTGCCATGACTTTAGTTCATTTGATAGCATATTTTTGTTGATCCGAAATTTGTAATAGTTGTTTTATGCTAAAGCTTTTTTTTTTTTTTCTGGGGGGGGGGGAGGGGGGCGCAGTTTGTTCTCGGCGGCTGGCTGAAACGGGTGCTTGCAGGTTGCGGGGCGCTTGGGAGAGCCCAAGACCCTACTCAGCACTGAACATCTGCCATGACTTTAGTTCATTTGATAGCATATTTTTGTTGATCCGAAATTTGTAATAGTTGTTTTATGCTAAAGCTTTTTTTTTTTTTCTGGGGGGGGGGGGGGGCGCAGTTTGTTCTCGGCGGCTGGCTGAAACGGGTGCTTGCAGGTTGCGGGGCGCTTGGGAGAGCCCAAGACCCTACTCAGCACTGAACATCTGCCATGACTTTAGTTCATTTGATAGCATATTTTTGTTGATCCGAAATTTGTAATAGTTGTTTTATGCTAAAGCTTTTTTTTTTTTTTCTGGGGGGGGGGGGGGCGCAGTTTGTTCTCGGCGGCTGGCTGAAACGGGTGCTTGCAGGTTGCGGGGCGCTTGGGAGAGCCCAAGACCCTACTCAGCACTGAACATCTGCCATGACTTTAGTTCATTTGATAGCATATTTTTGTTGATCCGAAATTTGTAATAGTTGTTTTATGCTAAAGCTTTTTTTTTTTTTCTGGGGGGGGGGGGCGCAGTTTGTTCTCGGCGGCTGGCTGAAACGGGTGCTTGCAGGTTGCGGGGCGCTTGGGAGAGCCCAAGACCCTACTCAGCACTGAACATCTGCCATGACTTTAGTTCATTTGATAGCATATTTTTGTTGATCCGAAATTTGTAATAGTTGTTTTATGCTAAAGCTTTTTTTTTTTTTTCTGGGGGGGGGGGAGGGGGGCGCAGTTTGTTCTCGGCGGCTGGCTGAAACGGGTGCTTGCAGGTTGCGGGGCGCTTGGGAGAGCCCAAGACCCTACTCAGCACTGAACATCTGCCATGACTTTAGTTCATTTGATAGCATATTTTTGTTGATCCGAAATTTGTAATAGTTGTTTTATGCTAAAGCTTTTTTTTTTTTCTGGGGGGGGGGGGCGCAGTTTGTTCTCGGCGGCTGGCTGAAACGGGTGCTTGCAGGTTGCGGGGCGCTTGGGAGAGCCCAAGACCCTACTCAGCACTGAACATCTGCCATGACTTTAGTTCATTTGATAGCATATTTTTGTTGATCCGAAATTTGTAATAGTTGTTTTATGCTAAAGCTTTTTTTTTTTTCTGGGGGGGGGGGGGGGGCGCAGTTTGTTCTCGGCGGCTGGCTGAAACGGGTGCTTGCAGGTTGCGGGGCGCTTGGGAGAGCCCAAGACCCTACTCAGCACTGAACATCTGCCATGACTTTAGTTCATTTGATAGCATATTTTTGTTGATCCGAAATTTGTAATAGTTGTGTTATGCTAAAGCTTTTTTTTTTTTTTCTGGGGGGGGGGGGGGCGCAGTTTGTTCTCGGCGGCTGGCTGAAACGGGTGCTTGCAGGTTGCGGGGCGCTTGGGAGAGCCCAAGACCCTACTCAGCACTGAACATCTGCCATGACTTTAGTTCATTTGATAGCATATTTTTGTTGATCCGAAATTTGTAATAGTTGTTTTATGCTAAAGCTTTTTTTTTTTTTTTCTGGGGGGGGGGGGGGGGCGCAGTTTGTTCTCGGCGGCTGGCTGAAACGGGTGCTTGCAGGTTGCGGGGCGCTTGGGAGAGCCCAAGACCCTACTCAGCACTGAACATCTGCCATGACTTTAGTTCATTTGATAGCATATTTTTGTTGATCCGAAATTTGTAATAGTTGTTTTATGCTAAAGCTTTTTTTTTTTTTTCTGGGGGGGGGGGGCGCAGTTTGTTCTCGGCGGCTGGCTGAAACGGGTGCTTGCAGGTTGCGGGGCGCTTGGGAGAGCCCAAGACCCTACTCAGCACTGAACATCTGCCATGACTTTAGTTCATTTGATAGCATATTTTTGTTGATCCGAAATTTGTAATAGTTGTGTTATGCTAAAGCTTTTTTTTTTTTTTCTGGGGGGGGGGGGCGCAGTTTGTTCTCGGCGGCTGGCTGAAACGGGTGCTTGCAGGTTGCGGGGCGCTTGGGAGAGCCCAAGACCCTACTCAGCACTGAACATCTGCCATGACTTTAGTTCATTTGATAGCATATTTTTGTTGATCCGAAATTTGTAATAGTTGTTTTATGCTAAAGCTTTTTTTTTTTTTTCTGGGGGGGGGGGGCGCAGTTTGTTCT